GATTTTATGTCGATTCGACATTTTTTCGACAAAGCCGACACGATTTGACGCAATCGACAAAAAATTGTCGATTTCGTGTCGATGTTGTCGATTTTATGTCGATTCGATATTTTTTCGACAAAGCCGACCCGATTCAACAAAAAAAGTCGGACGCGGCAACAATTGACAGGATTTTTGTCGAAAACGGTAAAAATCGACAAGATTTTTGTCGAAAACAATGAAAATCGACAAGATTTGTGTCGAAAACGATGAAAATCGACGGTATTTATGTTGAAATTAAAACGGCGGGCTGTCCGCCCGGATCGTACGAATCCGCGCCGCTGTTTCGGGTGCGTTCCCTATGTTTTCCTGCAGTTTTTTTTTGTTTTTGGAAAATTCCGCCAGCAACCTCAAGAGAGACGAATTTGTTCCTTGTAATAAGTGCCTCAGGGTTTAGAATTTAGAGCTTATGGATTCCGAATCTCAGATCCCCTGATTTCATGTTCTTTTCCACAATTTTTCCACCATTACCGTATAATCATATCATTTTCTTTAATGCGCAAATGCGTCTGTTGATGTAACAAGCGCGTCTGTTGCTGGGGCCCTCAGTGAGCCTCAAAGCCCTCGTGGCTGAAACTCAGAAAATCTGTGCAAATCCCAGCAAGCATGTTTACAACACTTGCTGAGGACCGAAACCCACTCCCACCACTTATCATGTCCTTATTTCGTCGAACGCACAAAAAACCAGGGTTCGCGAAAGTTAACAGCCTGGATGTGGTGGGTGTTCCGGCTTGAGCTGGGATTCGTAGTACACCCAACTCTCACATGTACACGCAGCTTGCGCAGTACTTAACATGTCCCGTGTAGTTTGTATGCGGGCAGTGCTTGTGTGTGGGGGGGTTGCGTGGCCCAGATTTGCACTGGCCTGCTTTGATTGTATTATAGCGCTATTTCCTCCCGCCCGCCAGCAGGGGGTGAGGGACTGCTGCTTTTGGGCATGCCCGACCAATACAAAAGTAGCTGTGCGACATTTGCATCATGACTGCTGCGTAAGAACGTGTGAGGTCAACAATCGAATTATTTGGGGGCACGGCACATGTGCCACAATTTACTACTCTCTTGTCTTGGTTGTCCCATGGTACTAGGTGGTTGCCCTAAGGCCTATCGCATAGCCAAAAGGCGTATCA